AGGGCTCATACCCGTGGAGCTGCTATGTGTAGTGTTGAACCAGAATTCTGCCCACGGGATCCAGTGAGGCCACTGTCGAGGCTGATTTCCCACAAAACAGCGGAGATAAGTTTCCAAACACCTATTAACAACCTCTATTTGCCCATCCGTCTGTGGATGATAAGCTGAGCTGATATGAAGTTTAGTTCCAGCCTGGTTGAACAATTCTCCCCAAAAATGATTCATGAACATACGATCGCGATCCGACACAATCGTTCTTGGAAACCCATGAAGCTTAACTACATCTTTAATGAATGCTGCTGCCACTTCCTTTGCTGTAAAAAGGTGTTTGAGTGTGAGGAAATGTCTGTATTTAGTGAGTCTGTCAACTACCACCAGGATAGTATCCACATTGTGCACTTTTGGGAGTCCCACTATAAAGTCCATGGAGATGTCTTCCCAAACCTAAACTGGAATAAGGAGAGGCTGTAATAATCCGGCTGGCCACAATGCTTCATATTTATTCTGTTGACACACACTGCAGGAGTTCACATATGTCTGGATATCCCTCTTCATTCCATCCCAATAAAACACATTCATCAACCGTTTGTAAGTTCTGAAAAATCCAGAGTGACCTCCAATCGGGGATGAGTGGAATTCATGCAAAAGTTTTTGAATATGAGGGCCTTGTTTCAGGACAACCAATCTGTTGTGATACATGAGGTGTCTACCCATTAGCTTGAAAGGAGGATGGCAATGAGGGTCGACCATAAGCTACTGGGTGAGATGCTGCAACTTGTCATCTTTTTGGATGGTCTCTTCCAGTTCATCCAACCCTCCGAAAAAGCCCATTGAGATGGTGTTAATTTCCACATTCTCAGGCCTCTTGGATAAAGCATCAGCGGCTTTGTTCTCTAGCCCAAATCGATACTGTATTTCAAACTGTAACCCGAGCAGTTTTAACATCCATTTCTGTTGGTCTTCATTCAGCAACCTCTGTTCAGTAAGGAAATGGAGGCTTTTCTGGTCAGTTTTGATGAGAAAGCGTCGGCCTAGCAAATAATGTCTCCACTTCTGTACTGCCAACACAATAGCCATCAGTTCTCTTTCATAAACTGATTTGAGTTTCGAATTGGCGGACAATCCTTTACTGAGAAATGCAAGAGGCCTCCCTTCCTGCATTAAGATAGCTCCCAACCCACACCCCGATGCGTCCGTTTCAATAACAAAATGTTTAGAGAAATCAGGCATCCTTAGTACTAGTACACTGGTCAGGGCAGATTTTAGAGCTTCAAATGCTGCCTGTGGTTGCTCACCCCAAATGAAGGCATCTTTTTTTAACAGGTTAGTCAGGGGAAGTGCGATTTTACCGTACCCTTTTACAAACTATCTGTAGTACCCAGTCAGTCCAAGGAACCCTTTGAGTGTTTTAATATCTTTCGGGCGGGGCCAGTTGACAATACTCTCAATTTTAGAGGGATCCATAGCCAATCCGTCTGCTGAAATTAAATGGCCCAAATATTCTAATTGGGGTTGCCCAAAGGAACATTTTTTTCGGTTGGCCACTAATTGGTGTTCCCGTAGTTTTTGAAATGTGAGACTGAGATGCTGCATGTGGTCTTCCATTGACGTGCTGTAAACAAGAATATCATCAAAAAAAACCAGAATAAATTTCCGAAGGTAAGACCTGAATACCTCGTTCATCAAAGCTTGGAATGTGGATGGGGCGTTGGTCAATCCGAAGGGCATAACTAGGAATTCATAATGCCATTCATGAGTGCGGAAAGCCGTCTTGTGCGTGCCTTCAGATTGCACTCTGATTTGGTGGTAGCTTGACTTTAAGTCCAGCTTGGAAAATACCTCAGCTCCCCCAAGTTTATCGAACAATTCATCAATGGCCGGAATAGGAAATCGGTCGGGGATGGTCAGTTTATTGAGTGCCCTATAATCTACACAAAACCTCTAACCACCATCCCTTTTCTTAACCAATAGCACCGGACTGGAAAAAGGACTGATACTAGGCTTAATAATCCCCGAGGCTAACATCTCCCCAATGGTCTTCTCAATTTCCTTTTTCTGGTAATACAGATATCTGTAAGGCCTAAGGTTTGGGGGTTGGGCGTCTGGTATTAATCGAATTGCATGATCCTAGGGTCTACTAGGGGGCAATTCCGGCAGAGGCTCAAATACAAATCTGAATTTTTCTAACACTGGAAGCAGCCTGCTACTGACATTGACCTCTTCATCTGACTGTTTTTGCAACTGCCCAAATTCAACCATGTATCTAGTTCCCTCACTCCTCAACGTTTTGATCATGGCTTTTAAGGAAACCATTGTTTTGCTAAGTGCAGGATCCCCTATAATTGTCACCGTTTCCTCACCCAATTTAAATTTCATCACCTGCTTCCTCCAATTCATCGTAGTTTCCCCTAATGTTTCCAGCCAAGCCATGCCTAGCACTACATCTGCACTACTCATGTCAAAAGGAAAAAAATCTTGAATTATTTGTACCCTCTGGACTTCCAAACATACAGCCTTACATTCTCCCTCACACCGGACTTTATATCCATCTCCAACTCTCACTCTAAACGCCTGTGTTCTTTCTACAGCAATGCCCAGCTTCTCTACAAACTCTCGGCTAATGAAATTGTGGGAAGCCCCACTATCAATCAAGATAATAACCTCCTGACCCATAATACTTCCCTTTAACTTCATTGTTTTTGGGCCATTGATTCCAACAACAGAGCTAAGGGAAAGTTCAACATTTCCTTGGATTTGTTCTGTCGTCGCTCCTTCATTGATTTCCATGTCCCCCGGATCCAAATCTTCTTCTTCTTCATCAACAAGGATTACTTGAAACTGCTTCTCATCACACTTATAGCCAAAGAAATACTTCCCATCACACTTGAAGCACAACCCTTTCTCTCTTTTCCGCTGTATTTCGGCCTCTATCATTTTTCGAAAAGTAAATTCACGCTGCGGTGGATGGGTTCTGTCGAAGGATCTGAAGGTTGTAGAGGTGTATTCGCGAGGAGAGGAATTCACCGCTGAACCCACGGCAGTACCATCTGTGTTTCGTCGCCCGGAATTTGAGAAGGAATTTGATTTTAGGGATTCAGTCGAAATTGGGGCTTTTAGTGAATCTTCGGGTCGGGTTGAGGTCGGGTTGAAACTCCTGGATCCAAGACTGCTTGACCCAACATTTAATCCAGGCCCATTCCACCTATTGGTTCTTGCTGGACCTGTCTTAAGCTCCTCTAAAGCCTAGTTACACTCATCTACTCTGTGGGCTCTTTCTATTGTTTGGAGAAGAGAAGTGGGTTGGATCAACCTCAGCTCAGCCTGAATTTCTGCCTTTAAACCATTCAAAAACGCAGTTTTCAGGATCTCTTCTTTCTCTTCCACCAGCAAAGTAGCTACAGCTTCGAATCTTCTTCTGTAATCAGCGACTGTACTGTTTTGCTTCATGGCCATAAGGGTTTCATAAGGGTTACTCTCTTGAGATCCGCTGAATCTCTGAATTAAAGCAAGTTTAAACGATGGCCACGAAGTTACAGGTGCTCAGACTTCCATCCATTGATACCAGTTAATGGCTTCCCCTTCCATGCACACTGCCGTAGCTGTTAGCTTACCTTCGTCAGGGATTCCATTTAGAGTAAAATACCTTTCAATTCTAAAGATCCACCCGTAAGGATCCTCACCCACGAAAATGGGTAATTCCAGTTTCCTTCCTCCCAACTCACTCTAACTTTGTCCCAAACTTCCAGATCCACTTGCTCTGTTTTGATTTTCCCCCTCCTGATTTCTCACGTTTCTGGATGAATTCTGTTCCCCACGTCCAGCAAGATTTAAGTTTGGCATACTAGGTCCTCTGTAAATTTAACCTGCCTTTTGTGCTTGTTTGAAATTTTTTTGGCTTCTCCTTTTACTGGAGAATCTTTTTCACGAACTTGCTCATCCAACTTCTTGATACTCTTAGCTCATTTTTTCAACATTTGAACTAATACGTTGCATAGTTGAAAGAGGAGCCGAGTCCAAAGGACAAATTGGATTTCAAGGGCAAACAACTTGAACTGGATTATGTCCAACAATTTGAGTAGAATTACAATTGTAAGCATATTCAAGTTTGAGACATAATCAAATCTGATTATTGAATACTCTACCCACATAACTCTTTAGAAAGTTTTCCAAAATTCGAGTAACAACTTCAATATGATCATCTATTTGAGGATGTTTAGTTAAACTAAAATTAAGATTAGTGTCAAGTTTTCTCCAATGGTTTTAAGATGCCTTGTAATTTCACTGTCTCCCAGAAATACTAGTTAGCCGCATGAAAAACATCTAAGCTTTTGTTACATGGAAGAAAATGAGCCATTTTGAGAACTTATCAGCAACCACCATGACAAAATCTTTGTTTCTTCAGAGTTCTTATAAAATGATGCCAAGTAGATTCATTTACATTGAATCTAGACCTTTTAGCGAGAATTGATCATTATTTCATCTAAAAACTCCAAATGCTAAAAGGACCTTTTACTGAGTGATCATAATTTCTTCTAATCTAGACATGTTTGAATTTTAATTTATTCAACATTACTCTTGAAAATAGTTTTGGCACAATTTTATGTTGTGTAAAAATCTTAAGTCCATTAAAATGTGCATTCGTATCCATGTAAAGTACTCCTATGTTAATATGCAAGGGTATAGAGTTTGGGTTTGGGGATTAGACTTGAGCTTATTAACTTGTACAATTTATTTGTTTTCTTAGTGACTTCCTTGGGTGTAGTAGGTATGCAAAGTTTTATCAATCCACATAAATTTGTTATATAATTGCATGACTATTTTGATATGTTATTTTGTTCTCATATTTGGTTTTGTTTTGGTTTTGGAGCGAAATTATTAGCATCTGGTATAAGAGTATATTGATTTCACAAAAAGCTAGTGCTACAACTAGTTTCCTTCATTTTGCTTTTGATTTGATACCCTTAAATTACACTTAACCAGATTGTATCCTCATATTGCAGGTTGATTGGTTATACTATATTGCTTTTGCGATTGTGGTTGTTGGACTCGTCATTTATTCAACAACGTGAGCCTCTAATTCTTGGCAATTTTAACTTGTTCAGATCTCTTAATAGTTCCTGTGATCTTTTAACTTTTGAATTTAGACAAAAACCTTGAATAAAATCTTAATCTATAGTTTGGTGCAAAACTTTCATTGAATATGTCGCAAACACTCAACTCTGTTATTAAAGTACTAGTTCTGCAACAACCAATACTTATGTTGCTTCGTGCCTCTTATAACAGTGATAAGGATCCCGTTCCTATACCAGCTCTTGAAAATGGAAGCCACAATGTGCAATATCAGATGCTTGATGGTGAAAATGTGGCATCAAGAGATGAATTATCAGGATAGTCTGTAAGTTGTGTAACTTGAATATTCATTCTGATTGTTTTATACTGACAAAAACTTGACACTATCATTTATAATTGTTTTGCAGGTCAAGTTTTTATTCAACATGCAGACAAAAGAGCTTTTATACTTTATGTTTTATTGTTTCACCTCGAATATTTATCTGTGTTTTAAAAACCGGACCGGACCGGCCTGTCCGACAGGGACCTGGCAGCTTCTCCGGTCTGGTTTAGGTCTTTGAGGGTTTTTGTAATATTTCAAAATTATAAGGGTTAATTTGTAATTTTATAGGGGTGTTTTGGAGATATTTCAAAAGTTTAGAGATTAATTGGTAATTTTGGGGCATTTTTGAAATAAATAAAAATTTAGGGACTAATTAAATTTTTTAGGAGAATTTTTGTAATATATTAAAATTTAAAGGATTAATGTGTAATTTTTAAAAATTAAAATTGTTGTTGACGTCATCGGTCCAACTGGCTGGTCCAACCGGTTGAACCGTGACTTGAGCAGCAAAACAAGTTGCCCCCCGGTTCGGGTTTTAAAACATTGATATTTATATTAATAGCCAAGAGAAAATTTAGTTCAAATAAAATTCAGTGAGCAGAGTGATTCCTGATAGAAAAGAAGGGCATGAGTATTAGATATTTGGAAATTAAGACCATTTTTTCTATTTGCTATTCCAAAATGTTATGTCATAGAACCAATCGCCTTTCTGCATAAGTGACTTTTTAATCACATGTATGAAACTCTAATGTTTACTATTAACATGTTTTATATCCATCACAAAAGTCAAAAACTGTGGCTCCATTTGGTTCACAATTTTGTGTTTTTGGGAAAAGTTTTTTGAAAAAAGTTAAAAAAAAAAGTTGAATTGGGCGGGTATTACGATGTAGGATTTACAAATTTAAAATATTCCCTATGTTTGTTTTTTTACAAAACACCCTTTATAATAAAACATTAAAAGTTAACAAAAACATTTCCAATCCACCCTCAAATACGGACAGCCGGCCACCACCGCCGGAGGGTGGCCGGAGTCGCCGTAACAAAAACATTAAAAATATTTAGGGGTATTTAATTAAATTAACAAATTTAGGGGGTTTTAAAAATGTTGAATAAAGTTGAATAATATTGTGAGTTTTTGGGTATTTTATTGTTTAACTTTTTTTGGAATACTAAAAGTAGTATTTCCAAAATCCAACCAAACGAAGCCTGTGACTCTTAACTTCAATCATCTACCCCATCAAATAATTTTAATAGCTAAAACAAATTTTAATAAAATATACAAAATAATAATTTACTCGAGATATTAAGAAAGAAGAAAATTACTCATGCATCATATTGATGTCACAGCTGAAATCTTATATGATGGAGAAAGTAAATAAACATCTTTGGGTTAATATTTAAACTAATTAATAATCATCAATTGAATTGAGAAAATAATTACTTTTAACTTCTTTTCAAATTCTTGGACATCTATTATATATTCATAGTATTGGCTTGTTCTACGTCAATGATGTATAAGGAAAAATAAAATAAAATAAATTATTATAATCTATCCCAATATTATATTTTTACATAAATAATTTTTTTTATTTATTTGTTGGTGACAAAATATTTTGAACTGGTTTAACTTTAAAATTAAGATGCTTACTATTCTCCACACCAATAATTCAGAAAATAATTTCAGTGCTTAAACTAATACGCTTGATATGGTTTGGATGGGTTTAGGAAACACTTCAACCTTCCTTCGTCATTCTTAGTAGCATTCAGTCCTCCCTAGGGAGTGTCCAACGTTTTTCTTTGCCCTTGTCCTTCACTTAAAACGAAACTTTAAGCGTCCTTGTATTTGTGAAATTCACTATATATATGTTACAAAAGTTCTCATAAAAAGCTTTCATAGCATTTTCGTACTGTCAATTGTGATGTAACTCGATCTTACGCAAGTAAATCGCCACTCAACACGAAAGTGCAAATCTCATTGTAATTGCGAAATTTATATATATATGCCGCAATTTTTTTGGTAAAAGGCTTTCGTAGCGTTTTCCAGTTGTCGATGGTGATGCCACTCGATTTTACGCAAGTAAATCATGTGTTTCTTCTTCTTCTTTTTTTCAGGTAAGTAAGTATGCATTATAAAAGATAAAAAATGAACAGAGAGGCCTATAAAAGCGTCCAACCTACCTCCGGACAAGCCCTAGGTTAGGACAAAAAGAATCAATTTTCCTATACAAGACTAAAAGAAACAAACAGGAGATGGCGAACCTTCTCCACTCCCTACCTCAAGACATACCCTGGGTTAGGAACAAAACAATTAGCCTAACCTGGACTAGGGACGAGCTAAACAATCTTTTTTCCTACCTCAGGACATGTCATGGGTTAGAGAAACAAAATAAACAACAAGAAGAATAATCTAACCCTATACATGACTAAACCGTGTGTTTCACTCAATACAAAAGTGCAAACCTCATCGTATTTGCAAAATTCACTATATGAATGTCACAAAAATTCTCGAAAAACACTTTTGTAGCGTTTTCGAGCTGCCGATTGTGATGCCACTCAAATTTACACAAGTAAACCATGCTCTTCACTAAAAACGAAAGTGCAAGTGTCATCGTATTTGCGAAATTCACTATATATAAGTTTAAAAACTCTCGTAAAAGGCTTTCATAGCATTTTTGTACTATTGATTACTACACAAGTCAATTTGATGCAAGTAAAGCGTGTCCTTCACTCAATATGAAAGTGCAAATCTCATTGTAATTGTGAAATTCAAAATATAGATGTCGTAAAAGTTTTGGTAAAAGGCTTTCATTGCATTTTCCAGTTGCCGATTGTGATGCGACTCGATTTTATGCAAGTAAACCGTGTGTTTCACTCAATACAAAAGCACAAACCACATTGTATTTGCGAAATTCACTATATGTATGTCGCAAAAATTCGCGGAAAAGGCTTTTGTAGTGTTTTCGAGTTGCCGATTGTGATGCCACTCGATTTTACGCAAGTAAAACGTGTCCTTCAATCAACAAAAGTGCAAGCAGTATCGTTTTTGTGAAATTCACTATATATAAGTTTCAAAAGTTCTTGTAAAAGGCTTTTATAACATTTTCGTACTGTCGATTGTGACGTAAGTCGATTTGATATCCTTCACTTAATGCAAAAGAGCAAATCTCATTGTAATTGCAATTATAATTATATATATATATATATATTGTCTCAAAAGTTCTGGTAAAAGGCTTTCATAGCATTTTTGTACTATCAATTGTGACACAAGTTGATTTGACGCAAGTAAACCGCGTCCTTCACTCAATACAAATGTTCCAAATGTGCCCACCAACTTTTATGCGGATAAAGAAAAACCCAAGGGAAAATCAATCCAAGCTTGTGAAGACAATTCGGTCCAAGCCAAGAGGACCATCATAGCCTTTCAAGACAATTCAGCCCAAGACAAAAAGGCCATGCCGAATGAGTCCACGTGGCCCAAGGCAAACCCAACCCAATTCCTAAACCCAAATCCATCATTTGGCTACAATTTAGTCTCATGGGAACCAAATATTCAAAATGGGAGGGAAAGTTCAAACGTGGGTCAAAGTGCAAGCACATGGGATCAAAAGGTCAAGGAGGCAAGCTATGACAATGCCAACTCAAGACTTGCCATTTCCGGAAAGAACAATCCGTGACACTCTTAGTGGCTCTTTGTGTTAGTGTTTTAATCAACGCAACGGAAAACAAAAATTTACCGATAAACACTATTATGCCCCAAAACACAAATATGAGTATAACAATGTTCATATGCTATAAAATAAACAAGACCCATGAAAGAATCGGAACCATACGCACATTTGGAGGCTCCACCACTTTTTCAAGATCCAGATGAAAAATGCTTACAATCCAAGTATAGGATCTAAGCACCGGTATCCACACAAAGACAAGGATCAACATAAGAGATTTACTAGATCTTGATGTGAAGACTAAAGAAGATGTAAGATTTAAGTTGAGTGAAAAATCTATCAATGAACCATTTACTCTCCATAGTCAAGAAAGTGAAGAATGAGAGTGTTTGATTTTAGGGAAAAGTGCCCTTTTATAGGGTTGCCTTAAAATCCCTTGAAGGTGTTTTTGCAAAAATACCCTTCCACTAAATATTTCATTAGTGTCCATGATTCCGGAACAAAATCATATCCTGGGTATTTCCCCAGTATTATTTTTATCCATTAATAACATTCTTTCAATATTTAAAACATATATACACCGATAGATATATTTAATATTGACGGTTTATCTATTTACAATATATATATATAAATACACACGACAATATACATATTCAAATAAATAACCAATCTTACATATTAAATCCAATACGGGATTGGATCCAAGCAACAACCTTCCAACAAATTTAATTGCTACATAAGATTTACCAAAATACCCATTCATCAATAAATGACGAAAATGCCCCTCACATAATCTCTTCTTTAGTTTGCCTTTTATATGTGTGACCTGAAGGCTCCTTATCATGTCAGTAGTGTGTAATATCACGATGAACACCCAATCAATTTTCTCATTACACACAGACTAGGATTGACCCCTAGTAAGGCATCAAGGCTACTTGACAAAATCAGATTCAATGTAATTTGCTACTTGTCAACAGTATGGTTATCGTGCTGTCAATCTTTTCATCATCTATTATCTCATCAAGGTTTGAAGCATAGAATAATGTCGGCTTCAAATATAAACCACTGTGACCTATTCAGATTCGATTATTAGACCAATTGATGAATCGAGCTTCAACTCGATTCCATTGTGGCCACAGATTCCAAGGTCGTTGTCTTTCATCAGAATCTCACCGACATAATATCTCTTGTACACAAGAGTGATGAATCCTTTATTGATCCACCATAGTCATGATGTCTTTCTCGATGTAGCCAATCACTCCTATATTGATAACCCTATCAGGATTACTTTTGGTAAGTGTCAAACTACACTAATAGGTACACATGACGCTTTGGTGAACTCAAATCTAAAGACCACATGCACCACCATCTGTTAGAGGATGTATTCCATGGACACTAGTGTTTCCATCTATATGGAGTCCTCTGATGGGTAGTCTGGTGAACTCATGAATCACAAGCACCCATGCACTGCATCAAGTTGTCACCAAACAACCTTGACATGTGAGATCGGTCAATACCTCTGGTAGGGTCGTTCAACACTATGATAGTCTTACCGTATTATCTGTGCCCCAAGTCAAAATAATACTTTGGCTATAGAAGTTGCTAGAATGGCCACATGAAGTAATCACAGGGATCT